GCCCTCAATTCCAGGAAACAGCAAGTGGTGGCTGGTGAGGCCAAGCTGTGGCTGAAGGCAAGAAGCTTCAGAAAGGCCTCAGGGTCAGTGGGTGGGCGGGCAGGGGTGGGGTTGCACCTGGGGGAAGATGTGGGGGAGGGACAAACAGGGTTTCCATGTCCCATCAGTGGCGCTGTGGGTTAACGCGCCAGACTGCAAAGCCGGTTGAGCTGCAAGGTCGGCAGTTCAAGCTCACCAGCTGCTCCTTGGGAACCCTATACAGGGTCGCTATGGGTCGGAACCGACTTGATGGCACTTCACAACAACAGTCCTCAGAGAGACTTGGGACAGCCGCTGTCCAGGTCCAGGAAGACTGCAGGAGGGCAGTGTGAGTCGGAAGTCCCCCATCCTGGGAGTGGGGGTGAACACAGTCCTGCGCCTTCATCTAAGACATGTCCAGTAACAGATGCGTCACCTAACACAAGTCTCCACCATTCTGGCCACAACGCCCTTGGACACTTGTTAAGAGCCCTCAAGTCGATTCCAACTCATAGTGACCCCATATACGGTTTCTCAGGAGCAGCTGGTGCGTTTGAACTGCCCACCTAGTGGTTCACAGTCCAGTGCTGATCATACAACACCACATCAGGAGTCCTTGGGCACTGGACACATGTTAATTCAGAACTTCCATGGAGCTGTCTCAGGGTCCCCTCCAAGCAGACCATACATTTCTGTCCCCAGGGGGTGAGAGGGGGTCACGTGCAGCCCCCACCTTCAAATTTTAAAGCTCTCATATTCAGCCTACCCCTCCCCACCAGAGAGTCAGTAATGCCCCTCCCCAGTCCCTCTTACTGACAGGAGCCCCCAGAAGGCCCAGGCCATGTGGCCTACTGCTCCTAGACCAGGCAGCTGGCGGCAGAGGTGGGCGGGGTTAGTGTTGTAGAGAGGCGCAACTTGCCAGAGACAGAGGAACCCGGAATCTGCAGCCTGCCCCAACCAGCCCGCCCTCCAGGTGAGGTGCACAGGTGCAGACAGAGCGGTCAGGTGTGAGGGACACACCTGGGCGCGCAGCCCCGGGGCACAGGCTTAAGGCAAAAGCCTGCCAAGTCCCCCAGGGGTTGCAGGCAATTCATAAACACAGACGTGTTAGAACAAAAACGTTATTATGAAACAACCTACAGAAGACTCGACAGGTTTAGAAAATGACCATATTTCCTTTCCATGGATTAAAAAAAAAAATACACAGGATTTTAAAAATGAAAGAAAACAACACCAGTAAGATATGCTGACTCTTAATGATGGACCGGTCAGTCGTTCGAAATCAAAGCAGCAACGTGTACCAAAGGACAAAATGAGAAAGCTTGAGAAGGTAGGTGGAATGGAAGTGAGTGAGGTAGCTTCTTGCACGGTGAGGACTGTAATCGTTCAGCTGAAACAAAGTGTATTAGTTGTTGAATGTAAACTGATGATTTTGGCTGCAAACCTTCACTCAATACACAATAAAGTTTAAAAAAAAAAAAAGTTGAAAGCACCCTAAGCAGAACATTAACAGGTTAGCTTCTGTTGTTAAAGTACCATCGGTTCCGACTCATAAGGCCCCTGTATAGGATTTCCAAGGTGTGGTTGGTGAGTTTGAACAGCCAACCTTGCGATTTAAACCGATCTTGCGGCTGACTGCTTATCCACCACACCAGGAACGAATGCCACACCAGGACTCCGCAACTAGTTTGCTAGTTAACTGGTTAACTGGTCATGAATTCTCCCAATACGGTCTCAGGCGGAAGTTCCCTTCCCAGTAAGAACACCCTGACTTCTGCAGTGCGCACATGGCTTGTCTGAAGAGGGCCCGCCCACTTGGAGGAAGAGGGCCCGCCCACCGGTGGGCCCGCCCACCGGGACGGAGAGTGCCCGCCCACCTGTCGAAGATGGCACCCACGCCTGCGCTGTGAGCGCTGTTGCGGTGCACATGGAGACCGGTGGCGAGCAGGATGCCGTCCTTCACCGTGATGGAGCGGTGGGAGAAGGAAGCGATGAGCAGCTCGTTCCAGCCTGGAGATGAGGGAAGACACTATCCGTGTCAGGGTCATCCACTCCCTGCGCCCCACCCCCACAGAGCTGCGCAATCATGGGGTGGAAGGACCACGACCACCATCAATCAATCACCACCTTCATCGGGGGCAGGGCTTTCCCCACCATCTGCTGGGCCTTTCCTGAAAATCTCAAGACTCCCTGGACCCCGAGGGTTAGCAACGTGTTAAGAGATTCTGAACCTGGGGGCACGGGGGACAGCTAGGAACCCTGAAACCAAGGCCGAACCCCTGGGGTCACACGCCTGAGCTCCCACACAACCTGAATGGTTGAAGCAGAGGCAGGAGCCAAATCTCAGCCCCTATGCCAAGGGCTAATAGCCCCTCCCGCCCCCACTCCACACCCTCCCCACCCCACCCCTGAGGTACACTCACCTGCCCGAAGCAGGATGACCTGGTCATCCAGGGGCAGCTCCGAGAAGTGCGGGACCCGCTTGGCCCACTCCACAAGGGTGAACAGCTGCTTGTCAGCTGCCTGGCAGATGTTGGTGACGGGGTCATTGGGCTATATGGTGAGAGGGGTCCCCCAGTTAGGACCATATATCTAGGTCGGGTCCCACCCCGTAACATCTCCACCTGTCAGTAAACAGCACCTTCCAGAACCTGTGCCTGTCACCTACAGGGGATCCCGAGATGGGGGGACAATCACAAGGGCTCTTGCCACCCAGCAGGAGGGGCAGAGGCAGAGAGTACCTGAGGGTGCAGGTGTGGGAGGGTGGGTGACTGGGAATGAGGGGCCCTGAGCCCGGGAGTGCACGCAGCCTCTCAGGGCTGGAAAAGCCAGGGCAGGGGTCTTTCCCTGGAACCCCCAAAGGAGCTAGGCCCCAACATCTGGACTCCAACTTAGCAAGGTAGGTCTCTTACTGGTCTCCTGGCCAGGGGGCAATGCAGGAGTGCTGCTTTAAACTCTTGGTCTGTGGTCATTTGTTGCCAAGGCAACAGGAGCTGACCCTACCCAGACCCTCCCCACCATCACAGCCCTGGGGGTCTGAGGACCCCATTTCCAGAGGAGGAGGTCAGGGTGCAGGAGCTGGATGGACTGGAGCCCAGTCATCCCTCAACTTTCAGGCAGCCCACCAGGCGGGCAGATGGTGGGGACACCCCATGGCCCTGTGCTTTGAGTAGTTGAGGATGTGGCCCTCAGAGGAGGCCCAGGTCCCAGTGTGTGTGGAGTAATGAAGCAATCTCAGGACAGAGTGGAACATGCAGTGACTCTTCACAGACCAAGGGAACTCAGGTGAGCCTTGAGCCGGGGGTCACTGGGTGAGGGGGGAGGCCAACACCCAGAGCTGGTGTGGGAATTCCTCACTACAGAGACCACAGGGTGGGTGGCCGGCTGGAGGAGAAAACACATCCCTCTTAGGGCTTCCTATGACAGGCTCCGGCTGCCCATAGACTGGGAGAACAGTGGGCTGGGTGGGGGGCGGGATGGCAGGGTGGCACTGAGGTAGCCGAGAGGGACTGGGGCCCCCGGATCTGGGAGAGCACATGGTGGAGAGGGCCGGGGGGCCCCTGATGGACAAGGGGCTATAGGACCCCAGCACTGCCCAAAGATTCCTTCACGAGGGAAACACTCAGATAAAATGGGCCTCCTTGGACAGCAGGCCGGTAATGAGCCCAGTCCACGCCAAGGGACCTGAATGAAGGTCAATCCACTGCTATGACTGTGACCCTAGGGACCACCCCTCCCTGGGCCTGGTGTGCTCACTGAGGACAGAGCCTAGTCAGCTTTTCCCCAATGGAGGACCCTAGCCAGTCCAAAAGGAGGGCTCCGCTGAGGTCAGCAGTGAGCCAGGAGCAGCCCAAAGACTCTGGCAGGAGCAGATGGCAGACAGCTCCCAAAGCACCCTCATCACTCAGCAGTCAGAGCTGGATTCACTCCCGTCTTCCGGGGAGCATCTGTGAGCCCCACAGGGTCTCCAGCTAAGAGGCTGGGGGATGTTCTGGTCACTAATGGGGAGGGGGCTGGTTCTCAACTAGAGGTGAACTGGCCCCGATCCACGTGTTGCTAAGTGCCATTGAGTCGGTTCCGACCCACAGTGACCCTGTATAGAGTTTCCGAGGAACAACTGGTGAGCTTGAACTGCCGACCGCGTAGTTCAAACTGACTTTGCAGTCCAGCACATTAAACCACAGTGCCACCCCAGGACACCAAGCCACATGAGAGGTGACTAAAGACTGGACACTAATGACAACCCATGCCAGGCACTGCCTCCAATCAGCTGATGGTGGGCTGGAGACAGCCATGACCTCACACAGCCCACCAGAGCCTCCAGCTCCCTCTGCCCTGAGCTAGGAGGCAGAATGCAGACACGGGAGGAGTTGGGTATAGGTCTACATGGGGGCACCAGAGCGCCGGATGGAAGGGCTGTGGGAAACGGGACAAGGTGGTCCCCGAGGGTGGAAACCCAACCGGGGAAGCCACTCCAGGGCCACCTCCCACCTGACCTCCAAGAAAAAAGGCTAGTACTCGGGCAGGCAGTGAGTACGAGGTGACTACGGAACGGACAAAAGCCGATGTCTACTCAGGCTTTGTGGGCATGCTCATCAGGGGCTTCCTCTACAGCAGGCACCCATTTACAGGGCCCTGAGTCTGCAGCATGTAACTGCACTCCCAGCCGGGCTGTGGCCGAGAGATGAGTGAGTGGAGCCACAGAGCTGGGCCGAGCAGGGGAAGACACTCACCGAGCTGGGGTTCAGCCCCACGTTCGCCTCCACGTACGTCTCCGTCTTGGGCTCCACAGCCACCTCGGCCTCTAGGATCTTCTCCACGGGCATGTCCTCGTTGGCACTGCTGGTGGATTCCACCTCGTTCTCATTCCGGTCCTTACCCCGCTGCCGTTCCTCTTGCACAGCTGTGAACACATGCCAACCCCAGTGCTGACCAGGCCGGGCAGTGCCAGCTCTGAGCCAACACACCTCCCACCAGCACCTGCCGCCCGAGGCCACGGAACCCCAGCCCACCTCTACCACATTCTCAGAAAACCCCCAGTCCACCCTCCCTCCCGCCTCACAGATTGATTCCATGAGTGTCGATGCCAGGATCCCCCCAGCCCAGCTCTCCTGGTTCCGTGAGGGTCCCAGCAGAGCTGGAGGGCTTCCGTGGAATGTGGAATGGGGAGCGTTCAGAAGGGTTCCTGGAAGCCATGGCACTGCTGCTGAAGAAGGAGACTGAACAGGGACAAGATGCAGGCCTGGACGGATTATGAGGGTTGGAAATGCAAAGGTAGAAGTTTTGTAACAAGGAAAGGAGTGATTAATTCACCAGGATAGGAGTGGAGGCCTCTGGGACCATCAACGGAGAAGAGCCGAGAGCAGGACCCTACCCAGAGAAACAGAGATGCCTGAGATAGAGACAGAGATGATGACGTGGAGTGATGAAGCGACTGGGGACTTTGGACCCAGAGAGGGAAAGGGACTGTGGGCCGAAAACTAGGGGGAGGAGGGGGAAGTGTAGGGGGCGGGTTTCTGGGATATACCCTTTGGGTGGTTGAGGATGCATGGAGGGGATTGGAACCATGGCAATGAGATGATACATGATGGAATGAATGTGAAACTAAAGTTCCCCCATGTAAACTATCATATAATTCACAATAAAACATTAAAAAAACAAAAATTTCCCTATAGAATTCAAATGATTCTCAGGTGGCAGGATACAGCCCACTTCACTATACCTACCACAGCATTTTAATGGAGGGTGGAGACTGATATGATGGTTTTCTCATATGCTTAAATGCTGTGTTAATGTGTTCATTTTGGTTATTTTTGGATGTGTGTTAATTTATTGCAATAAATTGTCCTCCATGTCCCCCCCCCAAAAAAAGAGGCAGGCCTGGGAACAGTCAGAGCAGGCTCCATGCATGGACTAGCCTGGTGCAGGGGACAGGCTGGGGGCATCAGGGCAGAGACAGGCCTCCAGGAGGGCCCCACCGTATGGAAGTGGACACCAGATGGGGCTATATCTCAGAAACTCGCTCTCAGGTGTGGGGAGAACCACCTTGAAGCAGAGGCTGGGGCGTGGCTCTGTTTCTGGTACCCTAAGAAGAGAGGCCAGTGAGGAGCAGGCGGGGTGGGAAGGGCTCATTTCAACACTACCCTAGGAGCCCTGAGAGGGACCAGGGCACCTCTGACAGATTTCCAGACCAGACTTTCAAACCAGTCCAACCCAGGCCCCCTACCCAGGGGTCCCCCAAGCTTCAGACTCCTACAGTCTGGGACCCTGGACATCCTGGGCTGACCTCATGCCCCATGCTATCTGGAAGGTCAGGGGACATCCCCCATCCAACCTGCTCTGTCCCCTGCGGTAAATCCAGTAAATCCGCCTTAGAAAGGGCTGGGCCCCAGGGGTCCAGGTAACCATACAACACCAAGGTTAAAGAGGATGACCATACTGCAGGAGGCAGAGTGTCCCCACCCACCCGAGGCTCGGGTCAGCTGATGCTGACAAGACAGGGTTCTGGCCTGCCCTCCTCCCCTCCTGCAGTTCCCTGGGGTGGTCACTACAGTCCATCTACCTCTAGGGTGACCCTCCCCGCAAGGAATTCCACAGCAGAGGCCCATGGAGTGCCCCTTTCCTTGACAAAATGACCCTTGTGGTAATGGCTCTGAGTGGACTCCACAATGCTACCATCTCTCTGACACCATCTGCTCTGGGGTTGTTAAGTGGCATCGAGTTGGTTCCTACCCAGAGCGACCCTGTAGAGGGTTTCCGGGGACTGACTGGTGAGCTTGAACCTACAGCACCCCCACACCAGGACTCAGCCTCGCTTTCCTGGTCCATCAAGTGGGACCATCACCCCCCATTTTACAGACAAGGAAACCGAGGCTCAGAGAACAAATGAATTGCAGAGGGTGTCCCTGAAGCAAGCCTGCACCCACACAGCCTGCCTCCCCCCCTCAGTGAGGGGTCTCGGGATGGCTCCCCAGAAACACCCTGTTCGGCAGCCATTGGTACTAACTAACCTATCAGGGGCACAGGAGACTCTGTCCCCACCTCCTGACAATCTGGGGGGTACAGGAACCCTATCCCTCACTCCTGACAATATGGGGGGTGTGGGGGCCCTGGCCCTGCCCCCTGACAATCGGGGGTATAGAGGGACCCTGTTCCTGCTTCCTGACAATATGAAGAGGTACAGGGACCCTGTTCCTGCTTCCTGACAATCGGGGGTACAGGGACCCTATCTCTCCTTCCTGACAATATGGGGGTACAGGGACCCTGTCCCTCCCTCCTGACAATATGGGGGGTGTGGAGGCCCTGTCCCTCCCTCCTGACAATATGGGGGGTGTGGAGGCCCTGTCCCTCCCTCCTGACAATATGGGGGTGTGGAGGCCCTGTCCCTGCCCCCTGACAATTGGGGGAATACAGGGACCTGCTTCCTGACAATCTGGGGGTACGGGCACCCTGACCCAGCCTCCAGCTCATGCTCTATCAGCCTACCTGACACTAGCCCCCTCTCCCTTTCAGGAGCCAAGTTCTAGGACAGAGCCTGTGAGAACATCAGACGGGACTCTACAGGGTTTCCTCTGACCTCCTGGGCCTCTCTGTCCACCTCAGCTCACACCAAGCAACACCACAATCACACCCTACCGTACCAGGCCTCTCACCCCCAGAATGGCTCCATCCAGCTTCACTGGCTCCCAAACCCCTCAGGACAGCCTCCCAGGCCCCACAAGCTCCAATAAGTCTCCCAGGCCCCCTCGCCGTCTGGGACAACCTCCCCGGCTTCCATAAGCTCTGAGATAGCCACCCTGGCCCCCACAAGCTCTCATACGGTCTCCCAGGCCCCGTCGCTCTCCAAGGCAGCCTCCCTGGGACCCCACAAACTCTGGGACAGCCTCCTCCCCCTACAAGTTCCGAGACAGCCTCCCCAGGCCCCTCACCCTCTGAATCACCCTTACCAGCCCCCTTTCTCTCCAGGGCTGTTGGGCTTTCAGAGAGCCAGCCCCGGGCCCTTCCCAAGTTGCTCCACAAGCCCCATAGGACACGCTGGGGCATGGGAAGTTCCATCCGCGTGGCGAGATTCAAGGGCAGGAGACATGCCAACCCTTCACATGGCACCAGCTGGGCCCAGGTGCCAGGCAGGAGTCCTCAAGTTGGTGATTTTGCAAGCCTGGGTCTTCTGGAAAATCGGAGAGCAGCTGGAGCTGCTCAGGAGCTACCGGCAGGTGGTGAAGAGCTTCATCACCCTGGCCTCCAGGACCCTCAGCACCACACTGACATCCGGGAGGGTGTGGTCGAGGGTCCAGGACAATCTGATGGACCCACAGAGCAGGAGGCCCCCGCACAGACTGACCTCCGTTCACATATCCAGGGCCGGACACGGTGATGATGTGCTCCCCTCAGACTCTGAGGGTGGGCCCCCAGCTGAGAGGCTTAGCTACCTGTGTCACCCGGTGGGGAAACTGAGGCCTAGAGAGCCAAGGGTCATGGTTGCAGGACACTGTAGCCCCCAAATGACATAGCCCATACCCCCCAGGGCCCTGCTCTGCCCTGGGCTACTTTAGGGCATTCCTTAATCGCTCTGGATCTCAGCTTCCGAGTCTGTAGGTGCCTGCCTTCCACCCCAGTCCACACCAGGCACAAAGCCGGCTCTTGGTGACCACAGCTTTGCTGTTGGGCCCAAGGGAGTTTACCCCCCTCCAGAAACAGCCCCAGAGCAGTCCTACGTGGGATGCTGGGGGTGGGAGTGAACTCCTCAGCACCTGCCTCCTCCACAGGGCGGCAGGAATTAATGAGGGAATGTTTTGCAAAGCACTTTGAAGCCACACAGAGCTCGGCAGCCCCGAGCAGCATCATTATAAATATTATGGTTTTATTTATAGACGGCGGCAGGCCTAGTGTGCGGGGTGGACACTTTGCCAACTCCATCACCTCCGAGACAGGAGCATGTTGACTTATGTTGTTCTGGCGCCGGGAAGCCTCGGGTGGGAGGCGTCTGTAAATACAGCGCCTCGTTATCCAGTGGCTCCAGCTCGCAGCCCTCCCAGGCCTGGGTGTGGGGCAGGGAGGTGGGCAGAGACAGAGCCCAGCCCAGGCGAGTGTGCCCAGCAGGGGGCTGGCTCCCCTAAAGCAGACATGGCCCTAACAGAGCTGATCCCCTCAGTCACTGCAGGATGTACCACCCCCCGCTGCCATCTGTCCTGGGGTGAAAGAAAGCCCTAGTAGGGGCATTTCCAGAGACCTCTCGCTGGGTGGGCTTTTTCCCCGAACTCCGTCCTGACACACACAGCCAGGATGGAACAGGCTCAGGACAGGACAACTGAGACCCCAAGAAGGATGTCCTATCAAAGTCACACAGCAGGCTTGGGTCACTCTGCATCCACACACACCCCTGTGTCTAACAAGATACAGAAAGGTTCCCATGGGTTTCACACAGAGCCAGTACCTCCCCCAGTCTCTGTTGACCCACCACACAGATGAGAAAACTGAGGCTCAATGCAACCAAGCCCCTGCTCAATGTGTCCAGAAATCACCAGGGCAGCTCTCAGGCAGACACCACCTCACTATAGGAGCTGCATGTCTCTGCACACATGTGCACTGTTGTTGTGAAATACTGCTGGTACACACATTACACTCACACGTGAGCATACGCACATACACGTATGCACAGGCACACATGCACATGTATACTTATGTGCACATTCATAGTCGCAGTGCACGCACGTACACATGTGTGTGCCTGTGCACGTACACACATGCAGATACAAGTCACGCAAAGAGCCATGTGTACACATGTGTGTAGAGAACATGTGTGCACGCTGTGTGTACAAAGTACATGGTATACACATACCTACACACACATGCACACATTCATGTGTGCACTGGCACACATATACATATGTGCATACACAAGTACTCACACATGCAGGCACACACGTGTACCCGCATGTGCGCGTGCACACAGGTGCACACACATGTACGCATTCACATTCAGGTACACAAGCACATGTGCACATGTATGCATATGCACACACATAAGTACGCACTCTGTACACATGCACATATCACACATGCACATCCACACATACACACCCATCACACCTACACAAGCACACAGCCACAAGGGTGTATGCACACACATATACATATATATCGCACACATCACATATCATGCCTACACAAGCACATATGCACACATACACATTTGTGCACACAGATGTGCAAACATATACATATGCACACACAAGTACTCAACACTGTACAAAGGCACACACATTACACCTACATGCGTGCACATGTACACACATCATGCCTACACAAGCACAGTGGCACACGTACACAAATCTGCACACACAAAGCACAGGTACACACAGGTACACATGTGCACATGTGCAGGTTCACTCATACATGTGTGCACAGTGGTGATGGTGATGTGCTGTCGAGTCGATTCCGACTCCTAGCGACTCTGTATAGGGTTTCCGAGGCTGTCAATGTGTGGGAGCAGAAAGTCCTCTCTTTCTCCCATGGAGCAGCTACACGTAGAACGCATGCTCCAGCACACGCACACGCACACGCACGCACACAAATGCGTGTGCACACACAGACACTGCCATTTCCTCGCTGGCGTCCTCAGGAGCCCAGTCACAGACAGGAAGCAGAAGGAGGCAGGAAGGAAACAGGGCGAGGCCATCCTGGAGGAGGGGACGGCCAGGAGCCGAGACCAGTCGCACCCCAGCAGGCCGGGAATCCCCTCAGGGTGGGGTTCGTCTCCCCCCCTGAGACTGGGTCAGTGTCTACAGGTCCCCTGGATGGAATGCTGCAGAACGAGTCCAGGAGACCACCTGTGCGCACAGGTCCTGCCATTGCCCAACAGTAGATGCTATCAGGATTTGGCACCACCATCGGAGATGGGGTGGAGGTCCACCCACCCTAAGGCAGAACAGGCCCCTCCTGGGATGTGCTAAGCCAAGGATCCCTGGGCCCTCTCAGCAGTGAGCCCACTATGCCAGCCTCCGTCTCCTCACCTGTAACGGGGTGATCAGGAGGCCTGGCTGACGCTTGAAGCCAGTGTGGAGACAATCTCAAAACAGTATGTCAAGGATGCAACAGAAGCAGAGGGACAGGGCAGGGGCTGCCTGAGGCTGCAGGCGACAGACACATGGGCTCGGGGAGATGTTCCCCGACGCACAGAGCCCACGACACACGCAGGCTCACCCACGCCAGGCCACTCACACCGGCGGCCAGAGTCACCCCGGCCTGAGAGGTGTGATTTTATGGTTGTGTTTGGGGCTGGGAGGGCTTCGTGGGAGGGTTTTTACTGTGCATTCGTGACTTATAAATCCAGCGGAAACAAAGGACTGAATCAGGCATTTACCTAACGGCCAGTGAATCAGGTCTGGCTGCCCACACCAGAGACGCCCACCAGAAAAGGCGTGGGTGGCTGGCTGGGGGGCCTGCTCAGGTTGCTCCCCGTCGCTAAGCCTGTGCTCATGGTAGTGGTGGGCCTCACTAGGGATAAGCAGGAGTCAGTGGAGGTCCCGAGTACTAGGGGCACAGAGAACAGGATGGGACCAGACTTCTAGGCACGCCATCCGTGTGACCCTGCATCCTGAGTTCTCCGGGAGGATGAAGGCCAGTCCCTAGTCAGCATGGACACATAGCCTCGGCCTGACGCCACATCCCTGAGCTGTTCATCAGACAGCCCCCCCCCACCCACCCATCCGCCATCAAGTAGTCACACGCGCCCTCCCTGACTACAGGGCGTTCCAGAAGCTGAGCGCTTAGACACATGCCCCCCTGGCCCGGCACCCACCGCAACCCTCTGGCTGCTGCAAAGGACCAGCAGGGTGACCCTGTATAAACCCCAATCCATCTGTGCCTCAGTTTCTACACCTGCACACCTCAGGGCATGCCCAGCATGTCTCAGGGAGATGGTTCAAGGGCCTCCCTTCCCGAAGGCTCCGCGCAGCCAGGCCTTCCAAGAACAGCTGGCTACACCGGGGACTGCAAGATGAAGAGACTCAGAACTTCCTGCCCCCCACAGTCTCCAGAAGAAGGAAGCCCCCCGGGTACTCAGGGAATAGCTGGGGTTTCATTTTCTTTCAAAAACTATTGAGCTCTCCCATGTCAACTATCACTCAATTCACAATAAAAACTTTTTAAACTTGAGGCTGTGAAGGCACTAAAAGACTGCTGTGGTTTTTAGTGCTGTTGAGTTGGTCCCGGCTCATAGGGACCCCCTAGAGGGTTTCCAAGGAGCGGCTGGTGAGCTTGAACCGCCGACCAATGTTGTGGTTCAAATAGACTTTGAAGCCCAGCGCATTAACCCACAGCGCCACACCAAAAGATTAAACATTTTTCAAAGAATTTAAAAATCCAGTCGCTCACCCTCAGGGCGGGCCATCAGCTGCTGGTATACAGTCAGGGGAGGGCTCTCAGGGAGGGCCACTGGGCTGGTGGGAAGGGAAGAGTGGGCCTCGGAAGAGGCATGGAGAGAAAGGAGGGACAAGATGCTAGCCCTGAACCTGGGAGCATCTTTCAATCCCAGAAGGCCAAGGGCACAAGTCATCACAGTGTGAACACAAACCACACACTTGAGAGTCTGCCAGGCCTGAGGGTGAATCAAGTTATGGACGCCTGACTCACAGACACATTGTTGTTAAGTGCCGTCGGGTTGGTTCTGAGGAGCAGATGGTGGGTTTGAACCAACAACCCTGGAGTTAGCAGTCCATTGCTGATCCTACGGCGCCACACCAGCCCTCCTCTTTCAAGCACACTTGCCGTTTACCATGAAACAAATGTGCCCTCGCTTTGTAACAACGGAAACAACCTCTACTGGTAACAAACTCTTCACCACAATCACTGACACCAAACCCAAGCCAACCACTGCCATCGAGTCGGTTCCAACCCACAGCAACTCTACACAGGGGGTCTGAGACTACACATCTTTACGGGGGTAGACCGCCTCATCGTCTGTCCACGGAGTGGCTGGTGGTTTGAACCGCCAACCTCGGGGCTGTGTGTTGTTAAACCACCCTGTGTGTACAGGCTTCCTGAGGGAGTCTGAACTGCCAACCTTGTGATTCCAGTGCTGATCCTACAGCGCCACACCAACTGGTGGTGGTGGTTATGTGCCGGGGAGTCGGTTCCGACTCACAGTGACCCTCTACAGGGTTTCCAAGGCTGTGAATCTTTGTTGTTGTTGTTATGTACCGTGGAGTCGGTTCTGACCCATAGCGACCCTGCACAGGGCGTCCAAGGCTGTAAATCTTTACGGGAGCAGAAAGCCTCATCTTTCTCCCGCAGAACAGCTGGAAGTTTCGAACTGCTGACCCTGAGGTTCGCAGCCCAATTCGTAACCACTACGCTCCCAGCCACACCAACTAGAGGCCCTAAAGTAAAGCGTTCCTGGTCCCCCTGCTCTGGGTGCAGGTCCCGTGCATGGCCCAGAGCAGCGGTGCCACCCTACCTTCCCGCTTCATGCCCATCGCCAGGCACTTCTGGTAGCGGCAGTACTGGCATCGGTTCCGCTGCCGCTTGTCGATCAGGCAATCCTTGTTGTCGCGGCAGGTGTACGTCAGGTCCTTACGCACCGTGCGCTTGAAGAAACCCTTGCAGCCTTCACAGCTGTAGACCCCGTAGTGCTTGCCTGTGAGGGAGTGGGCAGTGAGCGGACCCCCACCCCGTCCCACCCTGTCCCATTTCAGACAGCAGCTTGGCTCTGCTCCGCCTGGGCTGCTGGAGTCTCCCCGACGGCATCTCCCCCCCGCCTCTGGTCCCACGCACCCAGCAGTGGCCCTTGGCCGTCCATCTGCTCTGGCTCTGTCAGTTGGGCAGAGCAGCCCTAGGAGACCCCCACCAGCATCCTACCTGAGGAGCGGTCACCACAGATGGCACAGATGTGCTTGGTGAAGGCCGCCATGTTTCCTGAGGGGTGGGCGGGGACCTTGAGGACGCCATTGAGGCCCAGCGGGGGTTTGATGTCCTCGGTGCTGCTGACCAGGTTCATGGGCGAGTTGAGCTGTGGAGGGAGGGTGGCAGACCAGGGTGGGGGGTGGGCACGTGACCACATCCCTGCTTCACAAACAGAGAAGTTGAGCTGAGCACCAGGTCTCCAGGAAGGGGGGCTCCCACCGCCGAGGACCCCACGGCACTTTTGCAGTGGAGACAGGGCAGGGGAGAGTGTCCAGGGGGTGTCCACTGCAAAAGAGCCCACAGCACGGCCACAGACTGCAGGGCACCGCCAGGGACTGTACGCATTAACACTCCCTGAGACAAGCTCACTCTGGGGAGGAGCGTTGGGGACCCCTCTCCATGAGGCAGGTGTGTGCTCTGCATTACGCCACCAGCCCGAGGCTGCTGGGTAGGGTCTGGGGTCTCTGATGCCATGACCCCCGGCGCCTCCCTCCACCTCCCCCCTGACTGCACAGCACTTGCTGGGGCCAGGAGGTGGCGTGGGAAACTCACCCGGTCGCCCTGGCAACAGCTGCCGCAATGACACAGCAGTTTTGGTCCCCAGCCTCTGCCAGAGTCTCTAGTCAGCCTGGCTCCCTCAGCGCAAAGGGCCCCCGGAGCATCTCTGTACCCCTCCCGACAGCCTGTGTCCTCGCTTCTGCAAACCCCCAGCCAAGGCGGAACTCACAGCCCTGCAGAAGCCTCTAGGTGGGGAACAGCTGCCCAAGTTGCCCCCTGGTAGCCTCGGTCCCTCCGGGCCCCACCCCTCTTCCTTCCCCAGAACCCCCACTCTCAGTCCCCTTTCTCATGGGACAGGAAGCTAACACAGCAGAAACCACCCCACCCCCCAGCCTGGTGCATACGGCTGGGGCCTGAAGAATCCGCTCAGGGTCAGATAAGGATGGGGCTGGGATTCAGGGTGGACAGGGCTGGGAGTCCTGGCTGGTCATGCTCTGAGCTGAGGGGGTCTGGTGTAGATAGGATGTGAGGCCCAGGGTAGATGGCGAGGGAGACATGACATGAATGGGGCACTCAGGCTGTCTGCGTTCAGGGCTGGGAGAGTGTCCAGGGGTCTCCACTGCCAAGGTGGGGGCCCTTCTGTGGTTCAAAATGCCCTGTGCTTACTTCGCTGGTGTCAGGAGGGGCTAAGAAGGGTCAGGGCACACCCCTGAGTCTGGGGCACGCACAACACACCCCACCGTCTGTCTGCTCGCTCGCCTGTCCCTGTCTGGGAGGCCGTGTGCTGCCTGCCCTTTTCCAGAAGAGGACACTAAGGCTGGGCCTGGGCAAGGCACCCAGCTACTCCTCTGCTGAGCAGTTCTCAGAAGGGGGGGTGTGCTGTAGATGGGGAAACTGAGGCTAAAGGAGGGGCAGGGCCTGTCAGGTGCCACTTAGCAAGAGCGGGACACATGCCCCTAAGTCCCTTAGTATCAGCTCACCTGGCCCCACACAGGCACCAAGAACAAAGCCAGAGGGGGCAGTCATACACACATAACCCGAAAGTCTCGGAGAAGGAACACAGGTCACTTTCCCCAGCTTGGTGTCTCCATGGAAGACAGCCCTGACTTCGGATTCCACCTCCGCCTCAACCGTCTGCCGCTGAGGGACCCCTCTGAAAACTGGGGGAGCATGGGGTCTACTCAGCATGCTCCTCCCCCCAGGATCATGTTCCGAGCACCACCTGACCCACACCATGGGCAGGCCATCTGTGAGGAGGACCCCCAGTCGGGCAGCCCACATGTGTCCGCCCCGAGATGACCCCAGGAGGCCTACAAAGACAAGGAAGGGGTACCCCAGACAAAGCGTGACCCGGGCTAACATCTGGAGGCATGAAAAAGGTACCTCAGAAAGGGGACAGCAGCAGGACACTGACCCTGAGCCTCCTGGGACTGGGGCTGTCTGTGGGTGGCTGCTCTGGGATCCTAGTTGGAGGGAACCACTGAGAATACGTGGGCAAGGATCCTGCTCTGGACAGCGGGGGAGTGTGGGGGCTGTGGAGGACGGGACCCCATCGGCAGCACCAGAAAGGTGGTCTTATTCTTTCCTCCTCCTCTTGCAAGTCCCAGCCCCAAGCATGGTGGCCTGGTCTCCTCACTCAGGGACTCCTCCTGGGCCTCTGCCCATCTCTGAGGACACACGGTGCAAAACCAGGCTCAGGCCCCATCCGTTTCCCCTTTCACGTCCTGACACTCATTTCAGTTCCTGACACAGTTCCATCGGTGCTCGCCGGGTCTCCTGGGCCCACCTCAGCGGTTCTAGTCCACACCCACCACGCCCTTCCTCCCCCAGCCCACAGCAGGCCCCCCACTGCCCGGCAGCTCAGCTGTCCTCGAGGGAAGGTGCCCAGCAAGCAAGCAATGCCCAGACCAGGGACATCACAGCCAAAGTCTGCAGTGGGAGTCCAAGTTGCCCCTTCTCTAAGACTGTCCTGTGGAGACTGGGTGAGGCCGAGACATGCCCAGGTCTGGGAGCCCCTCTGTGTGGTACTTGGCGGCTTCCCTCAACACCCAAAAACCAACACTCTCAGTGTGGTCACGTGCCGGGATTTGCCAGACTGGCTCTGGGACAGGCCAGGGGAGACAGAGGCAGACAGGCTGTTTCCAGACGCTGCTGGAATGTAGCTGTGGGTGGGCCCGCTGATCATGCTGCTGCCTCCCAGCGGTGACTCGGAAAGATGCCAGGCCCCCGCCCAGCTACATCACAAGTCAGAGAACCTCACTGGTTCCGGCAACTCGGGAGTTTGCGGTTGTGGTTTTGGGGGTGGGAGCACACCCCCTGAACTCCACCCACACCTCCATGAATATGGGGAACCTCGGGGTTTCTAACACAAGCTGCTGAAGGGAACAGCCATGGGGGCGGCGGGGGGGGGGGAACCTACGGTCTGTCCAAGAAGAGAGGCCAGGCACAGAGTACAGCAAAATGTCAGGCTGGTCAGGGATGGACAGAGGGCTGGCCAGCACAGAGTGAAACTGGAACAAACTGAGCTGGCTTCCCAACTCCCACGCCCCAACCCCAGCCCCAGCCCCAAACTCACCTGGGGGCTGCCGGCGCCAAACCCCAGGGAAGGTCCAGTGGGTACAGACATGGAGTGTGGGCCCATGGGCGAGCTGATGACCGAGAAAGGTGGACCCATGCCGTTGATCGGAGAGCTCAGGGTGCCAATGGGTGAGTGCAGCTGGCCAGGAGAGCCCAGAGGAGAACCGATGGCTGGCCCCAGGGGTGGGTGCAGGGAGGACGCTGCCATGGGCCCTCGGCCCGTTGGGGAGTTGAGAGACGATGAGTTCACCTGGGTGGAAAAGTCTAGAAGGCAAGAGGCCACAGGACGGGCTCAGAGTCGAGGTCGGAGACCCACAATCGGTCCTTTCCACCACCACCACCCCCCACACATGGGCTACAGCCCTCCCCCAAATGCCACGAACCCACCCCAATGGACACCAACAGAAGGCCAGGCAGGGTGCCCAGAGCAGCCTGGTCTCTCTGAGGCAGCTGCTGGAAACATGGTTGTCCCCTGTGGGCCCTAAGACCCCACTGAACGCTACTGTTACCCCCATTTTCAAATGGGGAAACTGAGGCTGCGTCCTTACAGCTGACCAGCACCCCAAAAGGCACCGGACCCCCTTTGGGGGAGAGCAGGGAAGGCACACAAGGACCACCCAGCACTTCCTGTTCATGCCAGGTCTGGGGAGGGGGCCAGGGCTTGTGCCAGGGGCTTCAGAGGAGGAGGACAGCCTTTTATCTCGGAGGTTTCCAGCCTCAGCCTTCCCATCTGCAAAATGGTCTTCCAGTCCACCGATAGTATTCCACACGCTCCTCAGAAGCCCAGCAGGACTAGAGCCGGCTGGTAGTGACCTTCCAAGGACACAGGTGGGCTCAGTGTCGTCATCATCCCTCACCCGAGTGTAGTGCCTGAGTGCATTCTACCTGGGACAAGGCTCACACCTGGCCCTGTGAGCCAACATCAGGGCCCCTGCTGATGCCAAGAGTCCTGCCCACACTCCATTCTCAAGTCCCCCACACCCAGAGACCCATCACGTCCATTGGGCAGCTGTGAACACTGAGTCCCTGCATGCCCAGGCTCTTCCCCAGGGAGGCACTTGGTGCTGACTGTCCTGCAGGTGAGTCGACATTGCCTACAGAGGACTCCTGTGTCTGCCTAGCCCCTTCCTGCGGCCTGCAGCCTGCCTGACACTTCTGCCGCTTTCCCTGATGGAGGACCTAGAAGGGCACCATATTCAGACCATCAATTTGCCATGACGCTACAAGGCTACAGCGGGGCAGGTGAGCCTGGCTAGTGCCCTGTCCAACCTAGGCAGAGCCTCCAGCAGAAAAGCAATGCCTCACGCAATTCTCAAAGAAGGAAATGAACTAGCAGGCGTGGAACACACAGTGGCGATGCTTACAGGTGGAGAATGGTATTGCAAACCAGCCCGATTAGTCATTAAGCTCCTGGAACTAGAATGGGTGGAATCCATGTGTGGCTGTCACCCACCTGGAGCCTGGAGGTCCCCAAGTCCAGGAGAAATCTCCAGATGGGGACTGACAAACAGAATCATGCTGATCGACGGAGTCTGTGAAGCACATTCCTAACCCTAGGTCTCATGGGATCCTCTCAAGAAGGTGATGAGACCCACAAGTCATGTCCCCAGAAATCTGCAGCTGTCCCTGGACTCTGAGCTGCCACAGGCTGGCACCCATGCCAGCAGCATCCCGTCCTGCCGCCCAGCTGCCTGGGATGAGGAGCCCTGAGCCTCTTCCCTTTCCACACCAGGTTTCCTCGCCTGGGAAACGCAGACAGGCAAGTTAGAGGAGCTGGGCTAGATGAAGAAGAGTGAGTAAGGCTCCTTAACAGCCTTCTATGTGCAGATGGTGCGAACTTGTTTGCTGAAAGCCAAGAGGACTTGAAGCACTTACTGATGAAAATGAAAGACCACCGCCTTCCGTATGGACTATTGTTGTTGTTAAGTGCTGTCGAGTCGGTTCTGACTCATAGCGACCCTGTATCAGGTTTCCCAAGTAGCAGTTGGTGAGCTTGAAATGCCGACCTTACGGTTCTCAAACCGACCTTGCAGTCCAGCACATTAACCCGCAACGCCACGCCTCAAAAAAGAAACAAAAATCCTCACAGCAGGACCGATAAGCAGCATCTTGATGAACGGATAAGGAAATTGTCAAGGGTCAGATTTCACTTGGATCCACAATCAGTGCCCATGGAAGCTGCAGTCAAGAAATCAATGCATCTATCGCATTGCGCAAGTCAGCCACAAAAGGCTTCCTGAAAGTGTTAAAGGCCAAAGATGCCACTTTGAGGACAAAGATGCCCCTGACCCAAGTCATGCTCTTTCTCCTTGCCTCATCTGCCTTTAAAGGGTGAATATCAGTAAGAAGACCAGAGAAGAAGCGGCACCTTTGGATTATAGTGTTGGAGAAGAAGATGGGGTTCCGGGAGAAAATCTGTCTTGGAAGAAGCAAACGCAAAATAGTCCTTAGAAGGGAGATTGGCAAGATCTCACCTCACATACTTTGGACATGTGATCAGGAGGAGAAAGCCTCAAGCTTGGAGAAAGCCATCAAGCTTGGTTAAGTGATGGTCAGCGACAAAGAGGAAGACTCGCAATGAGATGGAGTGGCACCAGGGCAGGAACAATGGGCACAGAGCACGGATTACGAGGTTGGTGCAGTACCGGGCAGTTTCCTTCTGTTGTGCATAGGGTTGCTGTGAGTCAGAGCCGATAGCACCTAATAACAACAACAACAACACATCCACTTGGAATGAGCAGGCTGGCATGGGACCAGGGCTGGCTCACTCCTCCTAGGAACGACCCAGAGAGGAAAGGAAGGCTTTTCTGGAGATGGGCCTGAGAACAAGAGGAGGATTTCAGGGCCTGGGAGGGGACGGACAGCTCCCACCCTCTAAGTAATCCTGGCAGGACAGGGAGGGAAGGTCTCCGGGACAGTCTCCCCCTAAGACAGCAGCGTCCCTCCAGCAGTGTCCAGGGAAGGGAGGACAGCTTTGCAGGCCCACTAACAGCACCTAAGGTTGCAGTGGGGGCCTGGCTGAGCCTGAGCCATGGGCTGGGTTGTTTGTTTGCTCTCTGCAGCAGGAAGGGGAGGGAGACGGAGGAGAGAGCTTTGGCCGGAAGGAAGGAGGGAGGGTGGGAGGCAGCTGGCCTGGCTGCCCACTGCAGACTGTACCCCAAAGTCCCCAACCCTCATCCCATGGCTTCACAGAGGAGATGGGAGCCAACCAGGAGTGGGGAAAACTGGTCGGCAAGAAAAAAAACAAGGCAACAGCGAGAGGTTCCAAAGAAGGGGGTTGGGCATGAGGGCAGCGGTCCAGCCTTCAGGAAGGTGGGCACGCACGTCCTCAGGCACAGCCCCTCCCCTGTCATCCCTGCACCCACCCTAGGCCACCAGATGGAGACGCATAGAGCGAGTGTCCACAACTGCTCCAGAATGCACGGCGATTTTGGGTCCCTGGGAGCAGCCACCCCAGGCACGGTCCAGGTTCTGCTTCCCAGCACATCCTGTTTGCACTCAGAGCTCACAGCAGACGCTTCCCCGGTGCCTGGCAACAATGTGCTAGCTGTGCTTTCTGGACACTTGCTGGCCAGGAAGAGAATGTTGACAAGGAAAGGGAGAACGTGTCAAAACACCCTGAGCCTGCAGCGCGGGGCCACCCTCCTTCACGTGCGTGCCGGCACCGCCTCTCCGGGTGCTCTGTCCCCACCAGCTGATAAGTGCAAGCTACGATAAGGCCACGTTCTTCAAAAGTCACACTTGGGACTCGCAGGCCCCCACCCCCACCCCCAGAGCTTATCTGATGCACCTGTCTCACTCCCTGGCAGGCTGGCGCCCAGGCTGCATGGAGCTGCGGACACACAGCATCCCCGCCCACCAGGGGGGCACAGAGGGGCCTGGAGGCTGCGGGGGGTGGGGGGGCTGAATGGCAACACAGAAGCATTGAAGTTTGAGCCTCCCCGCCTGTCATCTGCCTAGGAACTGTCCCATCAATGAGATCCAGAGTTTGGGGAAGATACCCTCAGAGCCACCTGGAGAACAGAGGGTGGGAAGAGATGCGGCCCAGACCCCCAGCACCCTACCCACTTACAACGACTGCTGGGTTGCAGACTGATCCCTCCCTTGCCACTCAAAGCTAGTCAGGCCTCAAACTTACTGGAGTTTGCAAATATCTGAGGAGCAGACACAAAGTCCTAGGAGCAGGGACAAGGTGCAGGGAGACTCTCTGTGCCTGGACACTGGGCAGGGAAGGGACACTGAATCAAGTTTTAAAAGGGCTCTTGTCATCCCAATTACTGCCCAGCAAACACACAGGCTACTTCTCAAGGGGTAAGTTCCCCGTGGCAGGTGGGATACAAGTAGAAATAAAATCACCACTCAGGAATGACACTCACAGGCCAGTCAAGTGATGCTGAGCTTCCTTCAGAAGGGGGAAAGGATGCCCTAACAATGCAAATTCCTGCCCAGGGCCCCCCCAGACTACACCAGCCTTCTCCAGTATGGACGGGAGAACCCCCACCAACTCCCTTCCTGCCTCTGCCTGGCAGGGGGAGGAGGCAGATGAAGGCAGGAAATGCCAGCCCGACTGTGGTGCGGGGGGGAAGCCCCCGGGTCACCAGCCCTCTCCCCAGCATTAAGGGGCCCCCCAACTCTTGAATAGACTTTCAGACGCCACCAGAGTCCCCTCTGCACCCTTCTGTGGCCCTGGGAGGCCACAGACTGGGGTCAGGTATCCAGTGGGACAGACAAGAAAGCTGAGGCCTGCTATGGATGGGGTCAGTGGAAGCCAGTAAAAAGCACGGGGTGGGCACAGATAGCCATCTACCAAAGGTCACACCAAGCAGCGGGGAGCTGGGGCAACGAGACCGCTAAGGTCGTGTGGGAAAGAAGCTGGCCAGGACCAGCCAGGCAGTGAGTGATACCCCGACAAAAAGGGGATTCGGAGCACACACATTGCCCCCCCCAATCTGCTTAGGGACTCCCCCGGAACTGAAACCTTGTAGCAGGGAGCTATCGAGCCCTTAGGAGCTTCCTGGGGCGCCTACCTCCAGCCTCCGCCTTCCGGAAGTACCAAGTACCGCTTCCCCTGCCGCCCGCCCGCTGGGGGGAGAAGTGGCAGCCAGGGCTGGGAGTGTGGTGGGGACCACGGCGAGACAGGGTTTGGGGAGCCTGCGGTGGAGGGAGGGGCAGGAAGTGTACACGGGACCCATGGGGTGAGGGATCCTCCAAAACCAGGTGGGTGGGCAGACGTGACCAACGTGCCAGCAGGGATGGGACCCTGA